TTACAAAATCCAACAAAAACGTTTAGTTCCTGTAGTTTGTATTATCCAATCACTTACATGATTTCTTCACAATACTTAATTAAAACTCGTATGTTTGTCAAGTCAAAGAAGATGGTGTGAATATATGCAAATAGTTTACCACAGATTCTTAACCAGTGGTTAAAAAACATCGATGGTGAAATACCCATTGATTTAACCCCGTGTGCGAAAAAGACCGGGTCTAAATATATTTATTTTTAATAAATAAAACAAATATGCAAATAGTTAACCACAGATTCTTAACCAGTAGTTAAAAAATATCGATGGTGAAATACCAATTGATTTAACCCAGTTTGCGAAAAATACCGGATCTAAATATATTTATTTTCAAAAAATAAAACTCAAATTTATTTATGGAATAAGCTAGCAGAAAAATGGGTACTACATTTGCTCATTGTGCACCATAAGTATGTCCATATGACGATTTCAGAATAATGTTTGCAGATAGTATAACGAAATCCAGCGGAATTTCTGCATTGACTCATTACTATCGCCGTAACTATAACCTATTACTATAAAAACGAAATAGAGAAACAGTCACAGAACTACAGTTAAGGAAGTAGTTGCGATAAAGACGGAATGCAGGCATTATATTCTGTACTTAATACCTTGTGTTAAAGCAAGCATATAAAGGCTTTTACTGCATAGTTTTATTGGATAACTTCAAAAACATTTTTAAAGAAAACTATCACTGTGTGGTCAAGAAAGAACGACAGTTCTTTTAATAGAAAGTAATGATGTACACATAGATACACACAATGGTAAAATTACATTAATTTAGTTATGAATAGATTCACTAAATTTAGTCCCATCTAATAATATCCTATACTCAAATCTTAAGAGGCTCACCACCATAGACCATGGAATCGACATCACAGAGGCTTATTTTGAAGAATTGAATAAAATAGCTTGAATAGCTAGTCCAAATAGGACGGCTTGAAAAAGTCAGAAAGTCATTGGGTTGAGAAAGATCAAGCAGAAAATAGGTTTTTTACGACTATTAACTTGCCATCGTATACCTAATTCTTCACTTTATTATTGTAATTATTGGATCAGAAACAAAAAAAAAATAGCGCCTCACGGAATGGTTCAATTGATTTTTAATAATTTATAGAAACTATTGATAGTCATAATAAAAGCAATAATGATGAGACAATGTTAATCATTGAAATAGATTTGGATATACATTATATTATATTATATATTAAGATTGAGGCCCTATACTGCAATGGGAGATACAGGATATTGTTAAGATTAATTTTTTTAAACACATATTATTGACATTATTCAAATATTTTTTAATTTGGATAAACTCCAAGAGAATCGTTTCAATAGAAATATTATAGATTAAACTTTGTTGTGACATATGTGTGCATGAAATTATTGATATTAGCATAATCATAATTGTACAATTGTAGATATATCTATTTTAATATATAACGATATTCATTAATATATAACGATACCTAAATTTAAAGTGCAATACCTAGATTTTTGAATAATTCCAAACGACCACACAGAAACATTAATTATTCTTCCTTTTAATGAAAATATTAATCTATATAATCTATATTTATAATTTATCAATAGTACTATAAAAAATATGATTTATATTGATTCATATAAATCAATATTTTTTATTGCATTTATAATTAAACAATTTTTATGAATCTGTGGTGTTAAGATAGTAGTAACGTGAACTAACTCTTTCGGGAAAGCTTTAGAGCTTTTCCAATAGAATTGACCATACTAAGTTCTAATATTCACATACCATATTTTACTAAAATTGAATTAACAGATGTAATAGTAGCCAATATCCAATAAAATGGACTTATTATCATCAACTCTCAAATATGCATAGTAGAGATGCAGTAGGTGAGTGGATGTGTAAAATAAATATGATTTTAAAATCCGTATGCATTTGAAAAAATTGAATATATATCCATATGTTTAGAAATTTGCGAATTAAATAAATCCTCTTCCGTGATTATAAAGAATATTTTGAGAGATATAGAGTTATATCTCTTCATATCTCAATTGTATTCCATTAGAGGTATGGAATATAGGAGACATCTTATATTCCTCCTTTGAAGAATACTCACATACAATTACTGAAATTAAGTGTATGAAAAATATAAATTTAATATGAATTCAAAAGAAAAATTATTGATAAAAATGGGCGTAGTCAGGAAAGGAGACATGGGTGGGACTCCCAAGCATCAATATTTATAGTAACTTACGGGCAAAAAGATTCTATGAATAATATTACATAGTATCGATTATTTATGAAAACAAAAAATGTCATTATATTAAAATTATTATAACCATAGTAGGGCCCTCATTTCATTATGAACTTTACTTCGGACACTTTACATTACACTTTTAGGATATCGATCCGTATATTTTATCTTGATAACAGCAGATATCTATTATGAGGTTTTTTAAGACATAGCATATATAAAGAGTTGCTCATTTTGTGCTCCTTATTTCGTAATATTCTTAACTCATAAGTTCATCAAAACTGTTACCCAAAGCATCATAGATTTAGCATAAGGTTTGTCATTTTACAACATCGATCTTTTATCAATCGCAGAACGTGGTAAAATACTAAAAACTTACTACAAAAATAATCATTTATTTCGTTCAGTGATGAGACCAATTTGAAGGTGAGTGGACAACCTTAGCATCTGGGCAATGAAAACCTAGAAGCAACTGTCAAAACACCATTGAATCCTGAAATAGTTACCATATGGTGTCGCATTTGGTCTAAAAGTATGTCATTTGGTCTGAAAATCACTAAGTGTGACACAAACTGTTAATTCTGATCACTACATCGACATTATAACTAAATTTTTTAGCATGAAATTAAAAATATAAATGTAGAGGGTACATGGTTTCGACAACACAGGTCACAATCAACACATCATATCCAGCTTTTACTTGTTTTAAGGAGAAATTTTCCGAACGTGTGATTTCACTTATGGGCGATATGTGTTGGCCACAAAGATCCTGCGATTTCCACATAACTTTTGTTGTGGGATTACGCAAATAATACCGTATATGCGGACAATTCTTTAACTCTCAATGCTTTGAAAACGAACATCTACGAGGTTATGGGCTATAAGTTATCTAAAAGTTATATGCTTACAAGTCATCGACAATTATCTCTAAAAAATTCAGTAATCTAAATTATTCCATCCATGCATTTGAGTGATGTTGTATGGAAAGGTACAAATAATATATTGAAACAAAATTTGATCGAAATCTTAATCACAAGTGTGTTTTATTTCCATGTATTTTTAAAACAATAAAGCGGATAACTCTGTACTTCAATATGATATATTGTCAATAGTTGATATCAGTATTGCCTTAACATATATATTAAATTTGATTTTAATATCAATATGACAGAAGTGACTATTTTTACTTTAACAGAAACTATTTTATTTAATAGAGAAGTTTCGAACACAGTTGTGAGCTACAACACAGGTTATTTTAATTAATTGAATTTTTGGCTGACCATATAGCTGTTTCGAGTATTGCTAAATACCCATCATCAGTGGTCTTGGAAATATTTCTTGTATTTAATTATTCGTAAATAATTCTATTGAGACTTGAAGTACCAGAGATTGTACTCGTGCCCAGCCAAATTTGAAGCTCAGAGTCAGCGCTTCTTAATCAACTAATCCAAAGCCGTACTAGACTTTTATGTTCTCACATTTTTCTAGAATTTTGTTAATTTGCTGTCAAAGTTTTATTAACAAATTCACTTGCTGTTTTTATATTAGAAAAAATTAATAAACGGCTGTAGAATAATTGAATTAATTAATTATATTTTTATTTTTATTTGTTAAATTTCAGATATATATGTATGTAACATATACATGTATGTATATCCTTAATGTTTTTCATTTACCTTCTTGATGATATTCAGGGTACAAAGTAAATAATCCTATAGTCACCTCTCGACATCATCAATACCTTAACCAACATATGTGTATATATGTTATATTGAAAATATTTTTCATAACATTTCTGCGTAAAGTCCAGGGCATAAAGTAGATAACCCTAACTTTTGGAACTATCAATACCTTAACTAACATATCTGTAAAATGTTTTCAAATATTCATATCTAAAATATTTTTAAACTATTCCTACGGAAAATCCAGGGTAGGATATATGTTACATGGCAGAGGTTTATTCACCACAAGAATTTATAATATTAAATTAAAAAACGATTCAGGAAATAGCTTAAGTAATTCTGTCATAATATTTTGGATCATAAAAACTGCATTGGATGTATTTATCTCATTATCAAAGAATTTCATGGCGATGATTTGTACTTAATAATTGTCAAGTTCTTTGTAGACTGTTTTTTTTATTTGAATGAAATTATTATTTATTAAAACAAGGTTTCACAAACTTTTTATTAAAAATTTGATAAAAAATAAAATATTCACTTTAAGCATAAAGTATTGAGAATTTTCCATTAAATTTATGTTTCGTAAAAAGAAAACGAGGAAAGATAAATTTGGATTCTTTAAACGTATTAAATGATAAAACGTAAAAATGATAAAACTTACAAAAATAATTTTCGCATCTTGATTTAAATTATATTTTTAATTGCTCTGTTAATAAATTTCACTAAACTTTCTTTCTTAATTTTTTACCTTCTGCATTGAGCAAATATTTAACTTAAACCGAAACCATCGGAACGTAAACATTGTAGAAATTCACTTATATAATCAATAGCACTTCACTATAGATTAACCAAGCACAACAAAACACTGAAACGGCCTATAACAAAACAAAGCAAATATACCGGAGTACTCTCCATTGAGAAGCTACTTCAGATT